AAAGTTAAAACCAATTCAATTTTCCTACACCAAAATCATCCAAGCCCTGAATCTCGGCCCAAGCCTACCCAACATGCAAGTCAGATCACAATGATGGGACACAAGTCGGACAGGGTCAATAAATATATATCTACGGCTCGGCTAAGGCTATCATCGGATCATATATCAACTGATCAGAATCCAATTCAAATACCTTGATCCAATTCCTTAAAAATTGACAATATGATCCGGAGATCCAATTCATTCCATATGTCCCAATTACAAATGTTGGGCAGAATTTTGTGGGCAATTGATGAACTACAGAGTAAGCCCATGGGCTGTTTCCTGGAAGCCAAGACAACTCCCCAGCCCATAAAACCTGTTTGGCACAATGAGGAGCCTTAAATAGAAATAACCAACTAAATCGAAGTAACAGAAAAAACAAGTATAACATTTTAATTTAATAATAAAGAATCACAATTTTAAAATTAAGAATGCAAAAAAAAATAATAATAATGAACAGTTCGAAATATAGATTATGTAGTAGATTTTTTAAAACCCTACAACGAACATCAACTTTCTTGCAAAATCACACACCTTAACTCTATTTTTAAATCCCAAAACTGTCAAGTTGTTTTGAATGTCAAGAGTTAACTGTAACTTTGTCGATGGAATTCACGGTAAACTTAAATAGTAAAATTAAAATTGTATCTTATAGAATGTAATCTGTTTAAAAATTGAATATGAACGATTTTAGGCAAATGTCGATTATTTATTTTTTGGAGAATGAAATATTGTGGATTGAAAGATTATAGCCAAATTTGAAGGCGATTATGAAGGAATAGTATCTCCCGTTCATTGTGTCCGTTTATGAAGGAGACGTTCCTTCAAATGTCGTTTATTACTTTCTTACAAGGAAAGGTTACAATAATAAAGTTGACAAAAAATGGACTTAAAACTAAATAAATTTTCTTGACGGACTTATCTCAAAATAAGTTCATATAGGGGAACGACCTCCAAATTTCTCAAAAAACAAACAAACAAGCTAACAAACAAACTTAGTAAGAATTAGGATTACAAATTGAATTCCTCTTTTCCTTTTCAAATGTGCGCTCAATATTCATGATGTGTTGTAAAATCGACAAAATATTAATAACATATAAAAAGATAAATGTACAAAAAATATATAAAATAAATCCTTTAAAAAATTAATGTATTAATCTTCAAAATCAAACTTTTCTTTTCTTTTCTTTTCTTTTTTTCTCTTTTTTGTTTGTTCCTTTTGTTTGCATTTCATACAAGCACCAGAATCCCTTTTATAGGCCACTGAAACTATAATACATATTGTGCCATAAAAAAAGTTGGTTGGGTGGTTGTATAATTGAGTGGGGTGAGACGGTGGGGAAGACCATTAAGAATTGATCATCCACTTGTATCACTTTTTTTTTTTTTGCATCCACTTGTATCACTATTTTACAATGTTTTCTCTTAGATCACCACTATATTAAAAAAGCGTTGAACTCACAAATACTGTCTCATTAAAATATTGTCAATAAAATTCAATGGGATAAAAATTAGGGGNATGTGTTTTTCTCTCTTTCCTCTTGCAGCCATGTTCGGCAGATGTTTGCGTGCTATGGGTAGCCAAAGGAATTGAACAAAACTTTGGAAAGGAGATTAAAGAGATGATGAGTGGGCATCCGAAAGATAAGGTGATTGTCCATGACACGGCGGTGCTTGGTCGGCCAAACGTTTCGAAAATGAGCATCGATGCAGCTAGAAATTGGGGAGCGGAGGTTGTCATTGTGACCAGTAATCCGGAAGGGAGCCGGGATGTGGTTGATGCATGCAAGGCTCAAGGCATTCCTGCCTTTGGTCCCATATGGGACTCTTAAAATTTAGAATGGAATTATGTACTTGGTTTGCTTTTTTCTTGTTGAAATTTATACAACTTATGTATCTTATCCTCCATGAAAGATCAATAAATTTAACCTACCCCAAATCAATAAGACAAAAAAGATAATGAAAATAATAATAACAAAAAAATAAAGATAAAACGTAGGCACGCTATAAAATATGTTCTCTCTAAAATAAAATATTATTGTTATCCAAACGTATATAATCACTACATTCTACTCTCAAAATACAATAAACCAAACAGAAACTCATGATGTGCACTCAAACAAGCAGTTTGACGAACTTGAATAAACCCTTAATTGCATTCTTAAAATAAAAATTTCTTGGACACTCAAAAGAATCACAAGATTTCACTTATAAGAAGAAATAAGTTCCAAAAAAAAAAAATTATTGATGAATAAAATAAAATGAATAATTGTATGTGCATCAAATCAACTATAGTTGTTAGATTAGTAATGAGACTCACTGATCCAACAACTGTTAGTAATTTGATTCAAGTTTTTGTACATATTTTTTGTACACATATCATTTCTCAAATAGAATACCAAAACCACTTGAACATAAGCCCATTTATATATAAAATGACACATTTTCGTGAAATATCACAATGCCCTTAAATGTTGTGAAAATTCATTAGGTTACAATTATTCGTACCCAAATCCATGACTATTCATGAAACAAAATGTGACTATTTATGAAGTAAGAAGTATTACTACTCACTTCCAAAATATATGACTGTTAGATTAAAAGTTGTGTTCTTCCATCTAATTTTTATTAATATTTATTTTTTGAAGTATTATAATAAAAATCAACATTTCTTTCTTTCTTTTTTTTCAATTTCTGTTCTAGATCCAGAAAGGTGGATCTAGAATGCAAGTTTTCAGTCTTTGATGCCATAAGGAATTTACTGGCACTATTATATACTAATTCTGTTCATGGTGAATGTTAGTTGTAAATTATAAGTTAATGTTAATTTGTTTCTGATCCATGTTTGTGGACAATAAGAATATTTTTGTACGTTATTGTCTAACAATGGCAACAATGATCGTCATTGTAAATAATAAAATAATTCTTAAGTTAAGGACTTAAAAAAAATTCCAAAAGTCAAACCGCTCTGTAAACATGGAGTACCATTGATTATTTTTTGACTGAGCAAGTAATTTAGTCCAATACTACCTCGGAATACTTCTACCAAACACCCCTTAAAAAAATGAATCTTGTGGTTATGAAACAGAGATTATAAGGGATTGTTTGTTTGATGGATTATAAGGGGGGTTTGGTATGATGGGTATAAAGAAAAAGGTCCAATATCTTAATAAACTCATGTTTGATTGAACTTGTTAACTTATGCTCTAGTAAACCCATATTTTTTTTGTTTGGGGGG